AATCCCGTGTGAAAAGCCAGCATCTGGTAAAGGGACGACCCTCACGTTACTCGACACCATCACTGCCTAAACCTACCGGAATCAGCTCTTGCTAGAGGCCATCATTTAGCAGGAGGAAAGAGCATAACTCAAAATTTATAGCTCAGTCCATAGGCTATATACAATGTTGTGTGTCATGAACAAAGAGTTGAAGAAAACAATGATGAATCTTAGTTCAGGCCAGTTAATCGAGAGAGAGCTTTACAAAATATGACGTCTGATTGAAAGGCGAATTCAATGAGGTACTGCGGAGAGTTGGTGCTTCTCAACTTTGGAGCAAGGAGTGATGAAGTTCCCATTGTAAACAATTGAGGAACGAGTTCCTGCAAAGAGGAGGTCACCGATTGCAGCTGAGTAGTATATGTACCAACCTGATCATGGCTGAGCATGCGGCACGAATGACAGCTTCAACGTACAGCAATAGACGATTACTGCATCTCTGTATGTTACTCTGGTTGGGAGTAAATCCGGAATGAAAGCGTGATACTAAGAATAATGCAGATGATGAACTCTCATCGCAAAGAGGTATATGCCTCTAGTGAGTCGAATTTTCAGGTGATGCAATATTTATTTGATTGCTGTGGCCACTTCAAGATTGTCAAAGCGGATCTTCCAGGATATGAAACAGTATTCGTATTATTATTACCAAAACGAGAAAGATTGTCAGGTAGCAAAGGAACGAAAAACAGAGCGTTTAAAGATTGCGTTGCAGTCTGTAATAAAACGAGGCAAAACATGCAGAAAAACATAAACATCTCTTTTTTGTTTTAAATCAATCCTATACCTTCCGTCTCACGCTGAAAGCCTGACCCGCTGCTGCATAAGAAGGGAATGGCGAACATTACAGGAGGAGAGCACATATTCATCGGCTCAATGACAATGGATGCATTTCTATTTAGTGCCTTCACCTATTTGGCGAAAGATGCGAGTGTATTCCATCAGACTGGTCCATATTTACGAACTGTTTGTTTTCTGCCGTGTGATTTGATGCTCTTCGTAGACTGTAGTTCATAACGCTGTTTACAGAAAGGAAATGAACCGAAATTTTCCGAAGAAGAGGTTCGAAGACGCCAGGAATACTTGGAGAAGCTTAGAGACCAGTTGGTAAAAGCGAAACAAGAATCGAGACAACGGAAATTTTCGGAACTCGAACAGAAAGATCGCTCAAACCGCCCAAGAACGATGAGAGCAGCCAGGAACATACTGGGCAATGAAGAACCTAACATAGGCGAATCAGACGATTTGGCAGAAAGAAGGGCCATCATGGCAAAGCTGAAAAGCGAAATTAGTGGCCTTGCTGACGCAGTAAAAAAGTGATCAGTGTCTGACTCGTTGTTGAATCAAAGTTCTAAGCTTTCTGCCTTCCTTTGTCAAGCGTTCATTCATTGACTGTACTCGTGTATATTGCTTTCCTGTTCCTGAAATACGTATTGATACTATTTAAACAATGTCTTTCACAAATATTGCTACCTTTTTAAACCATATATGGTTCGGAACTCGATTATGGTATATTGTTAGAGCAACTCACTCATTTGACTAATCTCAAAGACAGTTTTGCAAATTTAGCTGATGAACAGTTTTATATCTGCAGCCACATCATTTTACCTGCTTCAGCGTGCTCAGTTTTAAGTGAGCCTGGTTTAAGCAGTTG